GATCACTAGAATGGAAATGTTAAATCACTTTCCTGAATTGCTAATTTTAGCAAAATGATGTGGGCATTTTACAGATGTTGCATATACCATTGTTTGTTAGATGTGCAATGCATTATTACTTGAAGAGGAGGTGATTATCATTATTTTACAAATGTAACATTGATGCATGGGAATTAACTCCAGCTTATCCGAGAAATATTACATTGAATTTGTTTCTGAATTCAGCTCTTGTATAGTCACTAAATAGACCAGTTCTCCCTTCTCAGGCCTTGCACGCACTGTTCCAGAGGTGCAAATAGTGAGAACAGAAGTTTCAATTGGAGGGAGAAATAATGGAATGATACCCTGATCCTGCCATGATTAGAACAGAGTCTTCCTATGGTTTCTTTTCTTATTTGATCATCAGAATTATAATATTTGATAAACTAATCCATAATGTAATATGCTTGAATATCACGTTCAAAATTCAGTTTTCAAACTTGTTTGGTCAGATTCTCTGTGTATCTGGATCAGCTGCGTAAGAATTTCCACATGCAAAATCGTGAGCACCAGCTCTTCCAATGAACCAGTCTTGATCTTTTCTTTCCCCTAGGGGATGGTGAAAGGCATTCAACGTGAAATCAAAGAGGCGAAAGGACACAAACACTTCACAGTTGTAGACAGTATTGATCTCCTGTTTTAATCAGATGCAAATGAAATCAAATGAACCCAACACATTCCGTGACTACCATCATACTGGTACATATGACTCAACTTTACTCCTGCCAATTTAATCACTTTCCCAGTAAGTCACAGGAGAAGATGCACTATATAAGTACTATTGCTCTAGGACCAGTTCCTGACCAAATAAACTGGTGTGTGCAATCAAGATCAAATCCATTGTCATTGCTAATCACATACTTTCCTGCATCTCATAGGTCAGCCACATGGCTTTTTAGGGAAGTATTGGCATTTGCACATATGATCAAATTTGAGCACTGGTCTGGTGTTATTTTTCCAGAAACAAAACAGGATTCTGGAATGCCCTTCTTGGCTGCACTTCCTGGAGGTATCATAGAGCTGGTGCAAAATAGGAAATTAAGGATGTAAGCAACCAAATTTTTAGGTTCTGACCCTTTATTATTACGATGACCTGCCCACATGCTCTGCACCAACCCCTGGTGCCCCTTCAGCAGCTGTTTAAGGCACAAAGGCTGATCCTATATGGGGATTTTTGCAGGAAGAAGGATCGGGGATAATACCAGCTACGTTCTAATAAGCAAAACCAACAATTTGGGAACGATTTCCAAAAAATAGGCAAGAGTGCAAAAAGAAGTGGGAGAATGGTAGCAGATGGGAAGAAAGACAATGGGGCCTCTCTATTTACCAAGTTTACCAACAAGTTGATCTAAACAAATAACCTGTGGATTCTTCACAGTATAGAAAAGTTGCTTTTTTTTGGACTACAACTTTCAGAATCCCTCTATAAGCAGGTCACTTAAAGGATTCTGGGAATTGGAACCCCCAAAAGTAACTTTTTCCAGCTTCTGAGTCTTTACATGGTTTTGGATGAATTTCTCAAATCCGGGAAAACTGTGTTTAGGGTTTGCCATCTTCATTTCTCTTAAAGTTACTTAAGAGCAAGCATTCAGCAGGAACAACTTCCCATGTTTTCATGGCTAGCAAAATTAAACCTGTTCAATTTCTGCCTATTTCACTGTTCTGCAAGGCATGGAACCTGTATCAGAGGCAAAAAGATTGCAACTCAGCAAACCCTGTCCATAAGTACCAAGATGAGTGAGTTTATGTTTCTAGTACAGATGGAATTGTTCTGTTCAGCTGTGCCATGAAACAAGCCAAGAGGATTGGAAATACAAACTAGGATCCACAGAAGTAACTTGTTCCTGTACCCAAAAAAAGGCGTTTAGACTTGTTTCATTAATAATTCAGAAAAAAGTAACAATGATAAAAAGCTGTGTGGTCCTCATACAATGCAAATGCAGGGGAAGGTAATACCTTTATTAAATCACTTTTTTAAAAGTCAAACAATCAGTGCAAGCTTTTGTGGGTCAAATCTGCTTCTTCAGGCCATGCACCAATATCTTTGTAGACAGTGCAGAAAATTATAAATGAATGTCCCAAAAATTCATGGCAGACGTCTGCCAATTGCTCAGAGCTGGCTACTGCCAGCCTCTGGGGAGTGTGGTTTAATGCTTCACCCCAGTAACATGGTTGGAATTTCCCCCATACATAAAACAATGTTTTTAAATCACAAGTTTTCAACCACATGTTACCAGGGATGAAGCATTAAACCATATCTCTCAGAGGCTGGCTGTAGTCAGCTTTGAGCTCACCTTAAGATGTGGCAGATTTCTGCCATGAATTTTGGGACATTTATAATTTTTCTGCACTGTCCACAAGATATTGGTGTATGGCCTAAAGAAGTTGATTAGGCCCAGAAAAATTCACACTGATGGTCTAATAAAGGCATCACCTTCTGTATTCATGAATAGTGATTTTGCTCTTTCAAATGCTGTACTGCAAACTACAGTTGAAAATGAGGACCAAACAGTATGTTACAGACAACACGTCATTAGACGTTCACATAATTCGACAGTTCCAGAAAAGTAGTTCTGGAAGATCTTCGTGCCTGAATATTGAGACTTTGTGAGGGGGGTGGGGGAGAGAAGCTTGCATCTCTAAAGAACAGTTACAAAGCAAAACCAGCTATTTGCAAACAGTGGGAGGAGTGAAAAGCTTTTTCTGTGTCAATCAGATGTGCTGAACACTTCAGGATTTCCTTTTGTTTATGACATGCTCTCCATAACAACTATTTGGCACTGGTAATTTAAAAAAAAATAGCTGTGACACTATATGAAGGTTAGTCATTCACAATCTCAAGGCACATCCACAGGTTCTTACATCATCCAAGGTATCCTTATACATTTATGTGGAAAAAGCGCTGCTTTTTAAAAAATCAGTTTAAAGTGAGAACGTCAGGAAGTTAACTGTGTGAATGATTGTTAACAGATGAGAGAACAGAAATAGACATATCTGTCATGAACCTATTTGTAACTTTATTCAGAAGGTGGAGCTCCTGCACTAAGACTAGTTAAGAAGTAATATCAGCTAATATACAAACTGGCTTTTTCAGGCTTGGTTAATAAATATCACTAAGATAAGAGTGTTCTTGTGTGCTGAAAAGTGCTCCCCTCTAATTTTAGTGATTTTGTGTGTAAGTTTCAAGAAGGGATTTACAGTTGTTGTCTAAAATGTATTATGTGTGTGGTTTTTATTTTATTTTTTAAATCACAACTCCAAATATATACCAAGTGGTTGCACCCAGATTTTGTACAAGAATTCCCATGAAGACAAAGAGGATAAAAATGAAATTCTACAGGAGCTAGTGCATTTGAACCACACCGGACAAGTATTCAAGAAGCAATATGCTTTGGGACTATAAACATGAAGAGTCTGCTCAGGTTAACTGGAAATGGCAAGTACAATGAAGAAGCCAAGAGTGTGAACAGGAAACATTTGCTCTGCCATTCCAGTTTTCTTACAGATGTTTCATCTGGTATTACTCTTAATTGGACAACTCTTGCCCAACAAAAGGTGCCATGAAATCATATTTCTCCAGAAATTATATCGGTCTGAAGTGTCATCCTCCATGCTTCAGACAAAAATTCTCTGTCTCAGATCCTAAGGATTTGATCTATAAGGGACTCCTGAATTCAGAAATATTTATTGAAAATACAAGTATTATTGCAGGGAGTATTTTGTAGCTTCCCAGTATCCCTAGAGGCTCCCAGCCTCCCTCCCACTCTGTAATGTTTTGCTCCAAAAATTTCCCTTGTGCCCCTCTAGGGGTTGTGAGAGGCAATTTTGCCATGTTTTCAGGAAACTTCAGCACCCCTAGGGATTCCTAACCCTCCCCAAAAGATGTTTCTAATATTTATATACAGTATTATATAGAGAGGGCATAAGGGTTTTTTCAGTTAAAAGCCCATTTTTAAAGCCTCATTTATTTTTCAGTTAAAAAACCCATTGTAGCTACCTACAGAATAGTATAAAACCACTGCTTTATAACAACTTTTAAAAATAAAATATTTTAAAAGCACAGACAGAGTTCTGACTCCTGTCCTGTGAAGATGCCGGCCACAGAGACTGGTGAAATGTTAGGAAGAAAAACCTTAAGAACACGGCCAAACAGCCCGGAAAACCCACAACAACCATCGGATCCCAGCCGTGAAAGCCTTCGAGAACACATAAAATATTACATTTAACTTAAATTTGCAAATTTTGTTCTCTGACTATACCCTTCCCCTTTAGCCCCCACCCTTTAGGGTGTGTGAGCCACTGATGAATCTCAAAAATGCTCCTCAGACCTGCTGAGATTACCCACCTCTGCTCTAGAGTCCAGACCTTCCAATCTTTGGCTTACATCATCTGTTCAGCAATATCAAATTTCTTCCCAGTATGCAATCCTATACACATGTTCACTTTAATGGCGCTCATTCTCTAGGGCACCTTTCCTAACCAACATAGGGCCCTCCAGAGGTTCTAGACCACAAAAAAACAATCATTCCCAGTCAACTCTAGTAACGTTGGCTGGGGTGGACGGGAGTTGTGGTCCTTCAGTTCTGGAGGGACCTGTCCTGGAGAAGGCTGCTCCAGTAAGTGTGAGTAGGATTGGTGCCTTAATTTTATTCTACATCCTCTAGCCTTTTCTTCACCACTCTGCTTCTCTCACTATCATATCAGCTTAATTGAACACACCCCATGCTTTTTCCAACATACTAGGTTACCTCTAAAATAATGAAGCAAGCCCCTTTCTCTGCTGAGATTACTAACGTTAGCAGATATAAGACAACATGAATGGATCTAAAACATTCTGTTGACAGTGGGATTTAAGGATTGATAAACTGTGTTTTACCATGTAACATATCATTGGAACATGTTCTGGCCAAAGTTAAGGAATTTGTTTTCCATTAAAATCCAGAGGAGAAACTGGATTATTTCCTGTAAAAAGTTGCCATTGGCATGTCTGCTTGAGCCCTTAGCACTCATCCCTCATAATTTTTTCTAAGGGTTAGGGACTGCTGGTTATTCAATTTCTGTTCAGTAGTTCCTCTTCTTCTTCTTCTTTAACCAGATTTCAGTCAAATTCAAATGTGGAAGACTGCATAACTGAAAGACATGCTCACACAAAAGCACACTTTCAATTGTCTGTTTTGAGTTATTCTACTTTCTGTATGCTACTTATAGTCATATCCTTCTCTTAGGAGACAGAGGAGGTTCTTGTGATTAGCAAAATGGTAAATCACATGGATAACATGAGAGCTTGGGGATTTAATTCTGGTTTTATATTTTTAAAATGTTTATGCTTACATGTGTGGTCACATCCTTCTAAAAAGTATTGGATTTTCATATTGTCTTCCGCACACACAGATTTAAACACTGGAGTCTGAATGTAACTGGTAATTCAAACTAGAGCAAACCCGTTGGATAAATTAGATTTCCCTCAGGGCTGACTCACCATTAAGCAAATAATTTAATATGTCTAAGTATAACTGGGCCTACCAATTGGATTTAGGCCTTATTAGAAGTATGGCAGCATGAATGACACTGTGAGGAAACTCATGATGACAGCCATGCAAGCAGTCAGATGGAGAAAGAATTCATTGTTTTTTTTAAAGAATAATATATTTTAAGCCTTATGTGACTAAGAAGTGCAATAAAGCAATCCTGACTTTTCATTGACAGTGAATCTTTGCAGCTCCCATGTTTAACCACAGCTGCTAATTCCAGCTTCTCAGAACAGACTTTCAAAGATTGTGCCATTCACCACATGGCACTGCTGAACAGAAACTTCAGATATAATCCATCCTCTACTGAAGCTGATACCAAAATCCTTCATAGATTTCAATGGAGTTGTCCCAGAGCTCCAAAACAAATATATGCCAAAATATCACATGGCTAGCCATTGTATGAACTCATCAAGAGGAAACAGAAATACACAGTTTGTTTATTTTTAAGGGAAGCAGGTCTGTCAATATACATTTATTTGTTGGACCTATTTATTGTTTAGTGTTCCAGCTTGCACTGAACCTGGTCTCTCCATTTGTGACATCACAGTCTGTTTCCACTGTGAAGAGTGTGATGTCATAATGAAAGGCACTGATGTCACAGGCTTCCTAGTGCAACAAGAAGGGACAAAAGGAAATGACAGGGTGACTTATCCCTCCTATAACTAAGGTGTAAAAAAATGAAATGTGCTATATTCACTGGAAGCACCAAATTACTCTTCACACTGATGATTGCTATTGCAGCCAGTGTGTAAATTCATGCTACCTAAGAAACAAGGAAAATACCCAACCATAGAGAAATTGTCCTGTGTGGTAACCAAAATACATACATGTTTCTCCACTACCACTTTTTTAAAAAAGGAACACACATTGGAGTTTCAAAGAAGACTTGCAGCATGGCTACTTAGTGTGAATGGAACATGTTGGGTTTCTTTTACTTTTAGATCCAAATCAAGATCAGAACTCATGGAAGTGGAGAGGAGAGTGGGCGAGATTAAACTCAAATGGGAAAGAACATTACAAATCAGAAAATGTATTTGTTGCTGAACATGGGAGTAGGATAAAGCCCAAGAAAAGCCCACCAAAAAACTACCATTGAATATCGCCAGTTTAGGCGAATATAGCTCGTTCTCTCATGGGGGAAAGGGGGATGGATTTATTTCAGAAAATGGACGGAGATGACTCTCTTGGCTGAAGATAAGCCGTGTCAGGAACCGGTGAAGGTGAAAGTTAAAAGGATAATGCCCCACAGTGTAGACTTCTGAAGTAGCTTAGTAGTTGTATTGACGCTGGCATGGTTGGTAGACAAAGCTGCCTTGGCATTTGGCCCGTCGTGGGCGGCACTCTCGGGTGCGGTTCTGCCGCTGCATGACTTTCTTACTGAACTTGTGCTTCTCTGCCAGCTGCTTTGCTCTCTGAATCCGACGCACCTGGTTGACCTTCTCCAAGATGGCGGTCTTGGTAGCAAGAGAGGTGGAGTGGTGTGGGGCATGACGTTGCAAATGGCGTTCAGGTACTTCACTACAGAAAGCAAGACACAAAAGTACATTATTGTCATGATGATTATAGTCCTTTTGATAGGAGAAGGTCAATTATTGGAAAAGTTACTGGTTTTGGAGCACAACTACCAGAATCTCTCCCCAACAGTCTATGGCCAGAGTGTCAGGGAGAAAGAGAACTCTTTCTTTGGTCCCTAAAAGTAGCTTCTTTTTCTAAGCTGTCAATTAGACCTATTTGAGCAGAACAAATCTCTCTCTCTCTCTAGATGACTTGGCTATCATGGCAATGTTAAGAATTATTTATAGGACAAAGGTCAGACAGAGTCTGTCAACCAATACAAATATTTTACATGCCAGTGACAAATGGCACTTTGTCATTTGATGCTTTGTGTGTGCAAATACTGAACAGGACACTGGCCAGAGAGAATAAGTGCTTCCCTGCTTTCTTTAGCATAATTCTACTCTCTCTCTCTCACTTACTCACTCCACCTAATCTTAGCCACCATAGGCAGTGGTAAGATATTAAAAACAGTTTAAAAGCATCTGGAGGACCATTTTGCCACCCTCAAATTTTAGAACTAAAAATTTGTGTCAGCTTGGACTATTCCACTCTGATACAGTAACTACAATTATTGGGGGCCAGACACAAAGACAGGCAAATGGACTGTACCATTTTACAATGTATCTTTTCTATAGCATTTGCTTTTAAATTAATCAGGATGAGCAAGGGCAAGATAAATATATAACCAGAACTGATCACAGTGGCTGTGGAGTTATTTGAGGAGTAGTTCGGAAGAGTAGCTCTGAGCATAACAGAATAGTCTGTGTATCTTGCTGCTTCCTTTCGCTTCTTGTTGGCTTCCAACAGGCTAACAAAGTGAAGAGAGCTGGTAGTAGTTCGGAAGAGTAGCTTTGAGCATAACAGTGTGTCTTGCTGCTTCCTTTCGCTTCTTGTTGACTCCCAACAGGCTAACAAAGTGAAGAGAGCTGGGATAATTTGATTGTAAAGAGCTTGCTATTTCTCCAGGGCTGACAAGGCTATGGGTCTGTGTGGAGAAACAACGTCTAGGAGCACAACACAGAGAAGGATGGGCTGCTCTTTTATGGGGCAATTTTTAATTTTACTCCAAAGATGAAAAGAAAATATATTGAGATGTGTGGTCGCTCTAAACAATCTTTCAGGATAACAGCACCATTAATAACAGCACTATTAGCACAACTAATAAACTTAGAGAATGTTAATTACATATCACTATGGCCATGGCATTTATGTAATCAACACTCTCAAACTTCATTACTTGTTATATTTTGATAATGCTGTTGTCAGGTTGAGATTTCATTTTCTGTGCCTCTGTTCCACTTCACTGGGTCCTTATTCCCCGAAATGTAGGTAGGCCTGCATATAAAATTGTGGCTAAATACTTCACTCCATATATCCAAGGAAGAAAATCTGTAAAACTCACACTGAAATACATATGTTAGAATTGAAGGTGTTGTGATACATTTGTTTGTATATTTGGCATGTGCTTGTTTTCTATGTTTACACATAGAGATGGGGGGAAAGTATTCAGCGATTCTGAGAGAGCGGAAGAGAGAGAGAGGCTTTCCCTCAGACACTGTTTTATCCTCACCCCATTTGTTCATTTCACTGCACAGCTAAGAGGCAGAAAAACGCACCTGCCTTCCAAATTAGAAATGTTCCTAACACTTCTAGCTGGGGGAGGACTGAGCCTAAAGTAGGGCAGAATACCATTTAGCCTAGTAGTTCAACCTCCATTGCAATACAATCAAAATACACACCATCTGTCCAATTTGTTTTATCTATCTATGGAACTGTTGTGTGGGTGTACGTGCATGAGTTATTTCAAAGAACTTGTTTAATTTTTTCCCTTTTTCTTTCTTTCTTTCTTTCTTTCTTTCTTTCTTTCTTTCTTTCTTTCTTTCTTTCTTTCTTTCTTTCTTTCTTTCTTTCTTTCTTTCTTTCTTTCATATTAGTCTTTTCTAATCAATCAATCAATCAATCAATCAATCAATCAATCAATCAATCAATCCATACTAGTCTTTTCCTTTTGCACAGAAGAAAAAAAAATTCAAAAGCTCTGAAGTCTTAAATACCACTCCAAAGAAAAACAGAGGCAAAACAACAGAGACTAAATCTACTCTCAAAACAGACAACGGTATACAAAAATTTATTAAGATTTATGTAATACCATATAGGCCCACCAACCAATTCAAAAAGCATTAAAGAGCCGAAAAATCAGAAAAGAGAAAAACCACAATCAATTCCATGCCACACACCCAGCACAACAAAGATCTCCAAGTGTGGGCAGCACAAAAAAGGCAAGGAGGCACACTTCATGATGTACCAAAGGGGTTGGACTCGATGGCTATATAAACCCCTTCCAACTTCATGATTGTATGATTGGTGATTGTATGACTGCCTGACATGTAGAGACAGCCATTCACCAAAGCAACAAACACAAAACTAAGAACAACAAAAGAGGAATGCCTAAGGCTGTGCCCAACTAACTACTACTACACCACCAGCAGCACAGCCCACCAGTAGTCACAAAGGCCATCTCCTTGCGTCCTCTAAAGAAGCAAACAAAACAGTCATAAAAATTTTCACCAGATTATACACATTTAGTAGAAAAAAGAATACCATTCTTTAACAAAGTGACAATTTTCAAAGAAATCAGAGAAAGCACGCGCACACACACACACAGAGTGAGTGAGAGAATAGCAAAAAATTTGAAAAAGTCACACAAGAAAACAATAGCACACTGACTCGCAGAGCCTCCTCTCTCAAACACCAAGAAAAGGACGCAAGCAAATAAAGCTGTACTATGAAAAAAAAGAAAAAAAAGTCTTCCCATAACCTAAAAGTATTAGAATATGGGGAAACTGGATTCCTTCTCTTCTCTAGTGCCACAGGCAGAAGCAGGGAGGCCAGGCAGGCAGCAGCAAAAAGAATCTAAGGAAATGAGGGAGAAAGTGTCTCTTCAAAAAAATAAGAGCAAAACGGGGAGAAAGAAAGGAGAGAAAGGCAGGCAGAGGCAGTAATCCAAAATGGAAGGCTCCGGGAGCTCAGAAAACAGTAATTCCACCAACAAAAAATAACTGAAGCAAAAAGAGCATTCCTCGCTGGTTTCCAGACCCTTCTACAGATTCAAAATTCCTATCCCCCCCATGTTCTGATTGGACACTGACAGCTCTTGCCCCAATGCCATTGGATGAAAAAACCTCAGGGAAAGAGAGAAAGAAAGGTTACATAAAAGAGACGAATATGAAAGAACATTTAAAAACATGAAAAGTTCATGTGCTCCTCTTTTGTAAACATGAATCATTTATGTTTAAGTAGTTTTCTTGTGGATGAAATAACTTGAATTACATGAAAGTTAGCCTCTTTTGTGTCTTTTATTGAAACACAAAAAACCCATCCCTAGCAAGTGTGTATGTGAGAGAAAGAGAATCAGCTACTGTACTGCCCTGTACTTACCTTTCATGGGTGACATGCTCCTCCGGGCCCTCCCTTTCCACAATGATGGTGCTGCTGGTGACATACACAGACATACTGGGATGTTCAATCAAGAGGTCCTCCATGGGGTTGCTCTCCATACTGACAGGGTCAGGACCTTCTGCAGTAAAACAGGGGGGAGGGGTAACAAACCAACTCTCGTCCATCAAGCAGGGGTCAGGCTGAGAGGGCATGGACCTGCTGACACAGTCACTGAGGGAGTGGGGCAAAGACGTGGTAGGTGGAGGGGACCCACGGCGGCAACGAGAAGCACAAACAGAATCCTTCTCACCTACCCGCCGCTCTTTGCTGGAGGTTGAAGCGTAACTATCTAATGAGAGATGACACAAGAGTCACCACCCACACAAAATGGGAGCAGCCAAAACAATAGTAGTAGTAGCAGCAGCAGCAACAAGAGAAACAACAATAACAGAAAGGAAATGCAACACAAACCAAAAAGAAAGATCCGAATTCAAAGCCATGCAAGGGATGCGGAAGGCAATGCAGGGCATGGAGGGCAGGGTTAATAGGAACAAGAAGAAATAGTGCACACGTACAAAATATAATGGATGAGAAGGAAGGGGAGGGAGAAGAGAAAGGGGGGATTATTAGTATGAACAACACCCCAAAGGCCTTTTTTTGCAATTCATCTCAAAACCTTCCCCGAGGAGTCAGGGCTGGCCTAAGATGATCTGCCACCCCAAACAGCTGCAGCCCACAATCTGAGCCTCAGCATCACTTGCAACTGTAGCTGTGCCCCATCTGAGCAGTTTCTCAGCTTTCCTTGCCATATTCAGGGATCCTGGTGCAGGGTTTGCTCTTCTCAGATCATCTTTGGTGCCCTTAAAAGGGAACTGGGTTATTTGAGCAAATAATCTGCTTGGGTTGCTTGTGCAGAACAGTCCAGCCTTACAAAAGTGTGCACCACCAATGCCAAATAGAGAGAGAGAGAGGAGGAGGAGGAGGAGGAAGAACACAAGCAAAGCAAGGTACTTCTCCCAGGGTGGGTTTTCGAAGCATCAGAGGGACATAAAGCTTAGAAAGAACATCTGTAGATAAGAAGCTGCTTTGGAGCAGAAATTGACATGACAGATAATCCACTGATGAGTGCCACAAAGAATTTTTTTCACCTCAGGTAAAGTGAAACAAGTCTGCCTGAATCACATCTCTCTAACACTAAGGTGCTTTCTGCTCCAATCATGGATACTATGACAGTTGTTTCTGCCCTCACTCTTCTGAGAAAGTGAAAAAGCTCCCATTGGACATGAATATGTGTTCATTTATTTATATGTATTCTATACAATTAACAAGAGATTACAAGAGAGCTTTCAAAAGGGATGCTGCAAAATTATTTAGAGGAGGAAATGAGAGGACAAAGAGATACAAAGAAAGGTTTAAAAAGGCACAGACAGGTTTAAAATGGCACAGGTGACATCCCTAGTAGAGATTTCATTGATTACTTTGCCAACAATCCCAATAAGAATGAGACTGTGTGGTTTGGTGTTTCCCAGATTCAGGAGTTGGGTAGGAGACCAGTTCTTGAGACACCTGATGGAGCAGGTGTGTCATTGGGGGTATTCTGAGATTAATCTTTGTCATTGGAGGTTCATGTGAGCTCAGTGGCTCTGAGTACTTGGAATCAGCTTCGACTGATGCACCAGCCATGACCATTCCTGTGTAGGGATAACTAGCCACAGTAGTCCCGGTAATTTCCCAGTTCAAATACTGCAGTGTACTCTATGTGGGACTACCCTTGAAGATGACATGGATGCTGCAGCAGGTGCAGTATGCAGCAGCTAGACTGCTAACAACAACTTCCTACAGAAATGTATTGACTGCTTATTTGAAGTTTTTAATTTTAACAGTTTTAAAAGTTTTTTAAAAAACATTTCTACTGGAAAAACTGATTAAAAACAAAGCAGGACAATTGGTGTTTGTGTGTTTCCCCCTTGGTTTTTTTCCTTTTTTCTGGCGCGCGCGCACGCACGTACGCACGCGCACGCGCACGCACACACACACACACACACAAAATGTATATGTATTTGGAATCAGTTAAAATAAAGACATGAGATATATAAGCATATTAGCCTCTCCATGCCACTATGTCATCATTCTCCACTTGTGGAGGTTCTCTACATGATCTAGCGCCTTGAAAAACCAGGGTTCCAGATCACATGTAGACTCTCCACAGAAAGATGAGGCTCTCCTCTTCAGTCTGCTACTCTCTGCAGAAAACATGATACAAGATTTTCCAATAGGCATCCTTCAGTCTCAAGAGACTATGGTAATGTGCTCTGTATGGAGGACTTGGAACAACATCTAGTGTGGCTGAGAAGGCCAATTTGAGAGTGACAATCCCTTCCACACTGAAGACAAATACAATCTGTCCCCGGTCTAGCTCCCTGATTTTGCTGCTTTCAGGACTGCCTCTTCGCCTCAGCCTGCTGGACAAGGGTCTCTTCAAATTGGGAGAGGCCATGATGCACTGCCCCAGGCTGAACGCTCAGATATCAAGGTTTCCTATCTGTTGAGGTCCATTCCTAAGGCCTTCAGATCCCGCTTGCAGATATCCTTGTATCACAGCTGTGGTCTCCCTCTGGGGTGATTTCCCTGTATTAATTCTCCATGCAGGAGATCTTTTGGAATCTGACCGTCAGCCTTTCTCACGACATGGCTGAGGCAATGTAGATGTTGCTTTTTCAGTAATGTATACATGCTAAAAATTCCAGCTCATTCTAGGACTACTCTATCTGGAACTTTGTCCTGCCAAGTGATGCCAAAAAGGTGTCAGAGACAACACATATGGAAGGTCTTCAGCTTCCTCTCCTGTCGTGCACAAAGGGTCCAGGACTCACTGCAGTACAGGAGTGTGCTCAGGACACAGGCTCTATAGACCGGGATCTTGGTATATGCCGTCATATTTTTAAAATGCCAATATTTACTCAGAATTTACAACAGAATTAGATTCTTGATGGTATGTAGCATTCTCCAGGTCACTGGATACTGCAGTATTCTTAGCTGTGGAGAGGTGCTACTCAACTTACTCATACACTGAGAAACAAAATATTACCACATGGCACATCTATGACTGGATCTATTGACACTGGAAGCAGGGGGTACCTTTAAAGAAACAATAAGAACTCCAGTTTTTGTCTAAGTTGTGGTGTTATGGGGCAAGGGAAGGTGTTTAACCTTGCTTCTTTGCTTCAGCTTTGTCATTGGAACTCCCCAATATTAAAAGCTACTTCAAGGGTTAATTATTGAGTTCCAATTGGCAGCCTCAGACACAGAAGTGAACTTGGCATAGGAAATGCTCTGATGCTAAACTCATGCCCTCAAGAGTCCATTTCAAAACAGCACAAGCCTCCCAGGGAGATCAAAAGGCATGGGCAGAGGTGGGGGAAGGCATGGGTCTAATTGAATTCAGTGGTGCATTGTCTGGTCAGTTGGAAAAATAACCATAATGAACAGCCCTGAACTTTTGCCCTGTTGTAGACAAGCCATCAGCTGCCCTCACCTCTGACAAGGTTCAAACTGTAAAACACAATTAGCTTTAACAAAGATCTTCAGCCAGCTGAAATGCAATTTTCAGCTCTTAATTAGAAATGTGAACAATCTTATCATTTAGATGGTAAAAACCATTTAAATTGCTAGTATGAAGTACCCTACAAAGAAAGGGCAAGATGGAGCCAATCTCTGCTTCCCTTTCCCACTTCTCTGAACTTCATGGCTTTGCCAAACCATTTTCACTCCCCGATACCCTGGTGAGCCACATTCATACCCATGACCTCCCCCATGTTGTTTTTCAAGTTTTTAAAAAAGCTATTTTGAATTTTAAAAACCTGGAGAAGATGAGGAGAAAGAGTAGCATATAATTGGCCAATTATGTTTTCTGCAGGCTACTGTATGTGTGAGTGGGAGCTTTCATGCTGAAATCCATTTCCAAAGAAGTAGCATGAGGGTCCAGAAGAGTCTAGTAGGCAGAGCCATAACTAGATGTTTTTGCATCTGAAGCTTTGTTGGCTGGCTGGTTAGCTGAGTGAGTGGGTATCCACACTGACATATAGATATGGCATGTAGATTGCTGCAGAAGCAGTTTACATTTTTTTAGAAAACAGACTGTGTCTGCACATGTTTGTACCTAGATCAAGCCATTCTTCCCCTTTAAGAGCCATCATGCAACCTTCTGGCTTAGCAGTAGGGCATGCATTCTTTTTGGTGTGCTTGTTGTTTAGTCTGTTTAGCTGGGAAATGGTAGCTTCCAGCAGCTTCAGGTTCCAACTGCCATTATGGCTGCAGATTCCAAGCAATAGCGAGAGATCAAATGGGGAGAGAGCAAGGAGAGGGAAACAGGGAGGGGCGAAGGGAGAAAATGGAATGGCACCAACAGAGGGAGAGAGGAGTGACATTTTAAAAAATCACTTCCCCTGACCCTCCGCAGACAATTAGGGGAAATGCTTAATTGATTGAGCTACAAGGGGTTGTTTGCTGTTCGGATGGGAGGAGTATGCCAAATGGCACGTTCCCCCTCCCCTTGTCCTCAATGGACCCTTTGTATTCAGATCCACTCCACACCCTAAACAGACAATCTATAGAGGCCCTGAAGTAAGCAGAGGTTGGGAGTCCAATTCCCCACTGTGCCTCCTAGGGGAACAGCCAGCCTGTGTAGCCCTGGGCAAGCTGCAGAGTCTCAGGCTGCCCCCAGAAGAAAGGAATAGTACTCTAAACCTAAATACTCTCTACCGAGAAAACCCTGGAAACCACAAATCAGGATTGACGTGATGGCATGTAATGATACGGAGGATGCTAGCTGGTTAAACCTAAGTCATTCAAACTGGAATACACAGGGTGAGGATAGAGGAATGGAGAGGAACAAGTGGACATGAGTGCATAATTTCCTATCAGTTCTGTCCTACGTTTGCCTGTTTTGTGCTTCCTTCTGCCTTGGGGGGTGAGGGGAACTGGCTGGAGAGTATGTGTTCAGGATGAATAAGTTCACAGCCATGCAGCAGCAACTGTTTGGGCCATGGGTCAAAGTCCTTGCTCCCCCCTCCCGCTAGTTACAGCTCTGCTGGTAGCCTCCACTGTGAGGTCCATGGGACACGTTTTGCCCATCCCTGCTCTCTAACCTGTCAAAAACAACATTAAGTGTGGAAGTCTTGTTATCACATCATCCTTCTATATCCAAGCAAGAAGAATACAGTATGCCAGTTACACATCTTGCAGGTGATGTCATTACTCCCTCTCTGGGGAGAAAAAGCCTTACACTTCTGAGTGGTTTATTACTGAGCTGCCTATTACTGTTATAGTTCTGAATTTCAGTAGATGTCTTGGTTAGGTTTATGGAATTCCAGTACAAGGAACTGGGCAGCAATAATTAGATCTATGACTGAGAAGAGGAACACAGGATCTTTTTTAAAAAATAAACAACTTTGCCTCTTGCAGATTGTTGTCAGGGTTTATCACAGGAAGGCTATTGTGATCAGTCAGCAAGCTTGAAGAAAATATCAGTCAGCAAGCTTGAAGCTGCTAAAGTCTTCTATGTACTGTACTGTATTCTTAATGTACAAAGGAAGACAGAGAAAACTAGAGAGGATTTTTTATGTGTTGAAGTTTTTTTTAAGAAATGCTGTGATTTGGACTAATGCTTTCTTTCAATGACCATTACCACCATCATTATCATAAACAGCTTAGATTCAAATATTTCAAAGCAGTGTATAACTGGACAATATAAAATACACATGCAAATAAAGGCCAATGAAATTAGCATGAAACATAGTTATGTGGTCTATGAAATAGAGGGTATGATTGGACTGTACAGAGAAGGCTTACATTAATGGATATATTTTCAGTGTGTGCCTAAAACTAAAAGTAGATTTGTGTCCATCAGTCTCACTGCTACAGGTCACCCTTCATGCCTCCTTGTGTCCCTCAGAACAATATAAACAACACGAGCTAACTAAGATAATAAAATGCATGGCATTTATGAAGACAGAGGAAATGAAATCAGTGCAGTGAATTGCTCACTCTGGCCTTGTGTTGAGGCTCAAACTTCATCCTATTCTTTAAAGTATGGCCCACTTCTATTTTTAAAAGGTGCTGGAGTTCAGTTGAGGTTAGAAACTGTGTCCTCACATTTTGTCAGCTTCACCATTTTTATATTTATTCTGGACACCTCTGGGAAGTTATTTTTTAAGACCATAAAACCAGAATCCTCTGCGCAGCATGCTGGCTGGGGATTTTGGGAACTGTAGTTAAAAAAAGCGTGCGCACACAACATTTCCAGCGCTGACCTCCTGTGCACCACATCTAACTTTTCAAGTCATGAATTCCTCTCTGCAAGAAGCACTCTTGTGTTTCATATCCCATGACAAATGAGCATACCAGATGGATTTCTCACAGCGGCCGATCAGCCCACTCTGTCTATCCTTTTGCAACATGTTTCATCACTCAGTTAAGGGGGAGGGGAAGCTGAGTTTGAAACTGGTGTTGAGCGCTGCAGTATCTGTTACCAACCCTGTTGCCAGAGAAGTGTTTTTTCCAAATCGCTTTTGTTTTCCATTGGTGTGCAAGCAAATGTCTTGGGTGAGCCTTGTTTTGATCATTGCAGTTTGGGCTGCAGTTGCTGAAAGATTGCTATGCCAGCAAAAACAATGTTTGGGCTTCCGTCTGATCGCTATAGCATTCTCAAATAGGAACTTGGCTCAAAGAAGTTGTTTTTGGATTACCATAATCCCCCAGCCAGGGTGACCATGCTGGCTGGGGCATTCTGGAGCTTGTCCAGTGACTTATTCAGGCTCTGTGCTACAGCAGCCTCTTTTGAACCAAGCACTGTCCAAATATGTTGGACCCCTCCATCTATCATACCAAGGCAAGAGAAGGCTGTTGCAGACTTCTTCAAATAGTCTATATGAGCCTTTCCGAAGCACATGTCCTCCAGACATGTTGATCATGGCTGATCTAGATCAGGGTTATTGAGGGGATGACCATGATGATTGAAGTTATAGTCCTGCTGGTAACTGGGTTACCAAATTGAGGAAGGCTGCTGTAGAGCAGCAACAAAAAAGTATACTTGGAGGGGACTGAAAAACAGAGCTTGCTTTTGAGCTGATAGGTAGCTATGCTCATAGCTCAGTGCCAGGATTTCTAAAAATATCTACAATGCAAATACAGTCATGGTGGTGATAGTTAGACATTTTTTAAAGGAGGCTACCAAGGCACGGGAATGCCAGGACGAACAGGAAAGGGAAGATCTGTGCTACACCTAGACAGATGATTGCTTTACGTTGCTTCTATGCTCATTTTGCAAGCAAAAGAAGGTCTAGACTGGAATTGCAGCCTTAATTTAGGCCATAGGATCCTTTTTCATGTTTGAAAACTTGATTAAAATGACACTTCTGTATATTTATTTATACAATCTCCCCAAAGATACACAGTAAAGCTTTGCTCTGTAGTACTTCGTGTGTATTCAGATTGTATGGCATCCAGGTAGACTATGTTTGTAAATAGATAAAACTAAAACAAATGCTGTATACCTGCAGCTGCTGTAATATACGCCTTGCCTATTTCTTCATCCATTTTTTTAAAAAAAGAAAAATCATTGGTACAAAGTTGTCTGCTCTTTGCAAGAAAATTATTTTGTAGAGAAGCTTGTCATTCTGAAGCAAGACATTATCTTTTAAAATGCTATGAAATTAGCTTACAGCACAATGCTGGCCCATCCACTGGACAGACAGGATATTTGTTCAGAACAATCTACTATCACCTCATCCCCTGGCCAGAGTTGTTGTCGCCAAAAGATGCAGAACAGGTGGGGCAGATGGGAGAGAGAAGTGGGAATAATAGTAAAGATGACTGATTATAAGAGAAATTTATCCTAGGGGAGAAGATACATTAGTTACTTGCAATTAGTTCCTTTTCTCCAGTAACAAACATACAGTATAACTCACAATTACAACTATGGATAATTAATAACTGAAATGTCTTTTGTGATGCAACTGTAACTTTTAGTTACTTGTACAAGTTGCAGGGTTGTAGTTTCACTAAATGGTGGAAATGAAATATCACATGCTTCTGCCACATTTTATATTCTGCAGTAGATGTTGAGGCAAAGTGGACAGAAGAAGAGGGCAGCTTCTAGCTTAAAGATTAAAAAATAAACTAAAAGTAACATACTTTTGAGAAACCGGCCTGTGATCAGTTGTCTTTAGAATACTGCAATTATAACAGTAAGGTTGGAGTTTGGGAGACACTGGAATTAACAAGTGTAGCTAATTATTTTTAGAGGAACTTTCTAAATTCAGGGTTTCACATCCTTGTCACAAGGACATGCCTGAAGAGGCAGAAATAGGCTGATGTTTGTAATTCACAGCCAAGTCTTAGTTCTCTCTGCTTCCATTTTAGGTATATGGAAAGGACCGGACACTCAGCATGAGGAGGAATGGCATTTTAAGTTGGGAAAGAGAAGTTCAGAACAGCCAGCTCGGGAGGAAGTTTTTGTTTGTTGCATAAAATAAGCCCAAGGGAAAAGGAGTGGGACAGATACTGGCTTTTTTCCCTTTGTGTGCGGCTCTTTCATGCAACCAAGACAAGGATAGTTGGGAAGGAAAGACAAGCAACTGAACTTCAGGGCTATTAGAGCAGAGAAAAGCAAGTCATGTCACATCTCACAGATTCCTAAAGCTACGTACCTCAGAGGTTCACAAAATTTTTGTAATACACCTTCTTTCTGATTTTTAAAGACGCTCTCTGCTTTTTCTTGTTCCCAGGATTTCCTAGTTGCTAAAAGTGGGATAAAACCTAAAACCCTATCAAACAAGGTATCACATTCTAATACCTACAGATCTTCTCCCCCTCCTTCATCTTTCCCTTGAGATCATGCAGACGCCACAATTTCAACTAACAGAAGCTGTGCCCAAGTAGACTTTTTAAACTGGCATCCTGTCTGTGGAAAGAGAAACTGAAGGGGGCCATTTCACTAGGTTTCTCCAGGGGAAGGAGGAAGTACTCCAAAAATTTCTCAGAGATGGAACTCACCATTAGTAGTAGTTGTAGCACAGCTTTGTTCGTTTCCTCTGGAGGTTTTTTTGTTTTCTTGCACGGCAACTGCAAGTGGCAATAACAGTAACTGTGTTGACAGCCCAACTACCATTTTATTTCCTCCACAAGGCACACTACTGTATTCTAAACCATTGTATTGGTGGGATTCAGAAGCACCCCCTCAAAAAACAGTGAATACTTTTTTTTAGAAATAATTCTGCAGAGTTGCCTTCTGTTTCTTGGGAGGTAAGAAACAAAAATCTGAATGTTTTCCAGAACAATGTTAATTGAGTAGTTATTTTGATTCTTCAGGGTCCAGTACCTCCCCTGAGTGTTTCCAAAATTCTGTACTGTGAAAGAATAATTATAGATACATCTTGTCTAATAATATAATTTAACCCCCCTAAAACCTGCAGCCAATTTTAAGGACAGCAGCATGGCATCCAGTTGTAGGAAAAGGGTGAAGCCAATACTGTGCCTTCGTTTGCCCTTCAATTACTCAAATATTTTATTTTTCACATGAAAGAGGCTTCAATTTTCCTGCTTGCTTTCAAGGTTCTTCAGAATTTCTTTCGGTTATATTTTTGAGCTCGCTTCTCATAACATTGCAGGTTGCTACAAATGCCATGCTCTTTGTATTAATAATAATCATGTACCTTCAAGTCAAGTCTGAATTATAGCAACACATTTTCAGGCTTTTCCAGACAAAGAATATTCAGAAGTGGTTTACTGTTCCCTTCTTCTGAGGGTGCCCTGGGACTGTGCAGCTTGCTCAAGGCCACACAGGCTGTATCTGCTTGCAAAAGGTACAGTGGGGAATTGAGCTCCCAACCTCTGACTCTGGAGCCAGATACCTAAGCTACTGAGCTATACAGCCAGCAGTTTACCGTTCGCTTCTGGGTGCCCTGGGACTGTGCAGCTTGCTCAAGGCCACATAGGCTGTATCTGCTTGCAAAAGGTACAGTGGGGAATTGAGCTCCCAACCTCTGACTCTGGAGCCAGATACCTAAGCTACTGAGCTATACAGCCAGCATGCTCTTTGTATTACACATCTCATTGTCCCTCTGCAGCTTCCCTGATATACCTACACACTTTGCAGCCATGAAGTAAGTTGGTTAAGCAGAAGAATTCTGCCCTTACCCATGACAATTTCTCCCAAAGTTCTCCCCTTATGAATTTATTCCCTTTCAAATTTATGAATAATGGCCTCATGAGATAAATTTTCTCGGCAGCCCTTATAATTTCAAAATCAAGTCAGTTTTTCCCTTCCTTTCCCCCCCTTCCCATCCAACTTCTCTTTTGTAACATTTTGCCTCAAAAAGACATAAGGTAATTTGAAAAGCTTGCACATTTTTTCTGCTCATTAGGTTAATCTAAACATATATTACACTAATATGGGTTTAAAGGCAATTGTTAATCCCAACAAGAATAACCCCCCTGAATGAGTGGGATTTACTAATACACTTTTTCAGGGTTTTCCAGGCACAGAATATTCAGAAGTGGTTTACTGTTCCCTTCTTCTGAGGGTGCCCTGGGACTGTGCAGCTTGCTCAAGGCCACACAGGCTGTATCTGCTTGCAAAAGGTACAGTGGGGAATTGAGCTCCCAACCTCTGACTCTGGAGCCAGATACCTAAACTACTGAGCTATACAGCCAACATACTCTTTGTATTACACATCTCAGATGCCCTCTGCAGCTTCCCTGATATATCCACATACTTTGCAGCCATGAAGTAAGTTGGTTAAGCAGAAGAAGTCTGACTTTACCCATGAAAATTTCTCCCAAAGTTCTCCCCTTATGAATTTATTCCCTTTCAAATTTATGAATAATGGCCTCATGAGATAAATTTTCTCGGCAGCCCTTATAATTTCAAAATCAAGTCAGTTTTTCCCTTCCTTCCCCCCCCCTTCCAGTCCAACTTCTCTTTTGTAACATTTTGCCTCAAAAAGACATAAGGTAATTTGAAAAGCTTGCACATTTTTTCTGCTCATTAGGTTAATCTAAACATATATTACACTAATATGGGTTTAAAGGCAATTGTTAATCCCAACAAGAATAACCCCCCTGAATGAGTGGGATTTACTAATTTAACACCGATGATTCAATGGGTCTACTCTACTCGCCACTAACAGTTGGATTTAGCTCAGAAATTTTGAAACACCATAGAAGTTTATTGAAGAGATCTTTTAACTCCCACAAAGAAAGGTATTGTGTTGTGTTTTGTTGTTTTGATTTTGGACTACTGTTCCCAGAACTCCCTGGTGGGTGAAAAGACATTAACCAGATACTTCTAAAAATATACTTTAAAATGCAAAAATGATTGGCTTCCCGCAACATTCCTGCAAATGACTTCTCCACCAAATGATTTAGTAGTAACACATCAATTTTTCTTGCCGTAACCATCAAAAAGAACGTTACAGGTCATTACATTATTTCATAAAACCTAATATGAGCTCAAAAGCAACACTGTATTACCTGTAATGTGGTACAGTTAAACTCCAGAAGCTCCAAAAAATTAGAAAGACGCACTACAGGGCACAGATTTGTATTTTTGGACTATAGTTTCCATAAGCACTGCAGTCCAAAAAGAGGAATCTGCACAACTCTAAGAAGTACCCGTTCCTCAGACATAACCATTTATCATGGCAAATGTATCAGGAGCTTGTCCTCAGGGGAGATTTTCCAGTTTCTGCTTTCTAATTGCGGTTGACTACAATTCCACAGTTTTCCATTTTGGGAATGAGGGCGTTCTTTAGAATCTAACAATTTCCTCCGACATTTCTCACCTGGTATATCAATAATGAGCCAACCATCTTCTTCTTCCTCTCTAGAGACAAAAGGCTTGGGTTCCACAAGGTCCCCAGGTGCACTGCTTTCACTGAAGAAGAGGCTTGTGAAGCGCTGGAACATGGCTGGAGAACTCTTTCTGAGGTGGACTTAGGGAGAAGGATGGCAATGTATTTGTAAACGTCTGTTTCTGTCTGAGGAGCTGGAAGATGCTGATGGAGAGCACAAGTTGGGATTAGCAGATGGACAATTCCTTCTGAAAGGCAGGAGCTGTTTGTTCCTTAGCAAAATCCGAGTTGAGTTACATATAGTGCAATCATAAGGTTTTTCACTTGGCTTCAGTGCAAAGGCCTGCAAAGAAAGAAAAAATTCATTCAGGGCCTCTGGAAGGCAAAAGCTTTTGGAATCACGAGGAACTCAGATGGCCTGGAGAAAGGAGGGGAAGGAAATCTTTGCATGGATCATAATCTCAATTAGCCTTGGTCATTTTACTTGACATTGCCTTCTACATGTTAGAATACTGACAAAATTTTCTTCTGCATTTCTTTCAACTGTACTCTTAGGTTTGATTTAAAACCGATCAAAGGAGGAGGAAGGGGGGGGAGGCTTGGGATCTCATGCTTACCTTTACTTATGAGATGGACAAAGTTATGTTTGTACATGTCAGGAGTTAAACTACACAACTATTTCTCTGACATCCTGCAGCATTCCGGGTTTCCCACACTTCAGCTGAAGCTCAGGGGAAGGTCATATAATGCCTCCACCACAGAGATTTTTAAGATCAGAAAGTATAGGCAGCCAGAAAACTGCAGAACAGTGATGAGCTGAGCAGTAGGAAAACAAAGAAAAGAGAGCTCTCTTTGCCACCTCACAATGCTAAGCTCAGCTTGCAAACAAACAAACAAACAAAAAAGACATTCTAAAGAAATGCATGAAGCAGAAAAATGGAATCTTCCTTTATGGGGAAGGAAAAAATGAGGAATTTACAGGACAGATTTTGACACAAAATATATCATAGCTTTTCTTTAGAGCTTGACACAACACTGCCTTCCCTCACACCTGCCACAGGCATACAGAAGAGCAGCAACATAATACACATGTGCATCATCCTTATCTTAAAACTGCACAGCTGGAACGGACTTTATGGATCATTGAGTCTAGCCCCTGTCAAGGAGGCACAGTGGGGAATCGAACTCCCAACCAGATATCTAAACCACTGAACTAATGCAAGATGTATCTAGAATTATTCATCGGAGACCTGAGGATGGTGTTTGTGTACTCTGAATAACGATAACCAGAAGTTAGTCACATTTTCTCAGAATAATTTTTTTCTGCATTTTTTTAAAATGCACCTCCACCTTACATTCCTGGGAATAAAAGACAAGTTTGTGGATTCCCCCCCCCCCCA